ATTTTTCTAATTTCATAGATAACAGAAGACTGTATTTTTTCTACATAACCCCCCCTGACTTTAAAGCTGGATCCGCCCCTGGCAACAGGCAAATAAAAGGGAAATTCAAATTAAGATCGACAATCCAAAATGAAACAGTGTCTTGTTGGAAATTGTTACTTAAATTGGAAAGGAGAGCTTTTTGCATATTTATTTCGTTCCATCTGACCTTGTTCGGGCCTCTTTAAGTGTTTCCTTGATTCCCAACTTGTCTAACCGGCGCATCATCATCATATTACTCTTTGTTAGTGTACAAATTAATCAAACGTCTACTGAGATGATTCAAATGGCAGATAAAGTCTTCTAAGTTTCTATATGCTATTTAGCTAAGAAGTCCAGGTGAAATCAGTGAAACTTCTGAAAGAACTTTACAGACAGTTTCTAAGAGGAGGAAGTAAAAGTTTGAGTTTCTATTTAGATAATGGCTAGCTTAGAGAAAGTTACCTGATCATTTTATGGGTATCTATAGCCATAATCCACCCCCTGACTTTAAAGCTGGATCCGCCCCTGTCATAATGCCACTAAAGACCAACCAATTGGGGGCAAATGAAAATCAGAAACGTCGAAAAATTATGCTAATAACGCCAATTTCGATTAATTAGCCTAATTTCAAAGTTCAGCATTGCAAAACGGGGCCATCCAGTCCACCTTGGAACCATCGGTCTGGGCCAACTGACTTTTTCTCGTCACTGTTCTCTCATTAATCGCGCGAAGCGTACCACTTCAACACCCAAAGAAACTCCAGATCCAATGGTTCCTCCGGGCTCCTTCGTCCTAATTGCGGTCCTCACGGTGCTGATGATAGACGAGGAAAACGGAGCAAACGCTCGCAGGGTGAAGCGAAGTGCCCAAACGTACACCACCAAGTACGACAACATCGATATCGACCAGATTCTAGCCAGCAATCGATTGCTGAAGAACTACGTCAACTGTTTGCTGGACAAGGGCGGCTGCACGCAAGAAGGCAAAGAGCTGAAAAGTGAGTAGCCGCACATTTTATCGAAAAACTGTTGAAAAACCCCGCAAATTCCGCCCTAGAGTATCTGCCTGATGCCATCGCGACTGAATGCTCAAAGTGCAGTCAAACCCAAAAAAAAATCGCCGGTCGAGTTTTTCAAGCGCTTCTCCTCAACCACCGGGACGACTGGGAGTTGCTCACCAACAAGTACGATCCGGAGGGAAACTTCCAAAAAAAGTACCTGCAAGAAGACGAGGACTACTCAGATCTAGAGGAAGCTTAGGGATGGTTTCCCATAAAAACAGCACCCCAGTTAGCGCTAAGCGCAACTGTTGCACCCAAACCATCCGGAAATGTGATTAATAAAACTGGGAAAGCCTGATTTTAAGATTTATTATATTCTTCGCTAACTGTGCTATCCAGATTACGCAGCTTAAGGAGTTTTTTCCGCAGGCTGGATTGCAACTTCGGCCTTCTTGGCATCCAAATAACGCTTCTTGTAGCTGCCAGTCGGGTCGTACTTTTCCTGCAACGGGTTCCAATACTCCGGCTTGTTGTCAATCAGGAACCTCATCATCGCTTCCGAACCTTCTCGCTGTTTGTCGCTGCATTTGCTGCAGTCGGTTTCAATTGCGTCCGGCATGTTTTCTACACAGTGCGAAAAAACCCGAAATCTTTGCCCCTTTGTGGGCTCTTGCGATTGTCTTACTTTTCAGCTCCAGGCCATCTGGACTACAAGGGCCTCGGTCCAGTAGACAGTTGACGTAGTTCTTCAGCAGACGCTCGTTGTGTACCACTTCGTTTATGTCCACATTGTCGTACTTGGTCGTATATTGGGATTTTTCGGTAACTTCGGCCAGTGTCTGGCCGATGCAGATGAGGAGTGAGCCGAGAAGAACCAACTTCTGCAAAAAATGGGCGATTTGTGCATTTTTTCAGCTGCGATCAGAGCAAATATTGTTCCTTTGCAATACATTTTCCAAATTGTTCGTAAATACTAGATTTCTATCTCACGACTTATTTTTATTGGGGAAATCAATGGCAAACTTCGGAATGCAAGGCTGTAAGGTACTCAATCAAAAAATTCTCAAAAATTGCCTGAGGATGACACAAAGTCCGAAAGTTTTCCACTTATAAAGCGCACTTTGCCCTATAAAATGCACTCAAAAGTGAGTCTACGCCTTCACTAGAAAATAAATGCCTACTTTAGACATGCACAAATAACCATAAAAACAAGCAAAAATCACATGCAACTTTGAAAGACTCTAGAAAACTTCCTGATGGTGACTGAAAATCGAAACTTCTAGAGCTAATAACACGGACTACACCCAATAAAATTCACAGAAAAGACACTTAATTGATTTCTGAAAAACTAATTAAACTTACCATTACAAATACATTCAAAATTTAAAAAATTATCGAAAATTGCATGAAGATGAATCAAAATCGAAACGTTTCCTACTTATAGAGCAGACCTTGGTCTACCAACTTAAGACAAAAGTGACCTCTGAGTTTTACAACTTGCGGAACAAATTAATGTCTAAAATTGACCTGGTTAAATACCCACAAAACCACGTGTAACGTTGAAAAATTCTAGAAAATTGCATGATGATGACTGAAAATCGAAACTTCCACTACTAATAAAACACACTAAGCCCAACAAAATAAACACAAAAAATGCTCTCAAACTTAATCGACTTCTGAAGAAATAATTGTTAAACTCCGGTCTGCAAAATCAAGCGCAAAATGCACCAAAAATTCCCGAAAATTGCATGAAGTTGAGTCAAATTGAAACGTTTTCCACAAATAAAACAGACCTAGCACTACAGATTTGATGTGAAAGTCACTGTCTAACTTTGCGAGTTTTTGAGCGAAAAAATGTTGTGCAAACTTTGACGTTCCTCAAATATCTGCACAAACATTGTGCAACTTTGAAAACATTTTGAAAATTCCCTGATGATGACTGAAACTCGAAACTTTTACCACTTGTAGAACAGACTGTGTCTTACAACGCGCAAATAAAAGTTACCATCTCACTTTGCGAGTTCTTGACTAAATAAATGTCAAACTACGGCCCACAAAAACAACTTAAAATCTGATGATGACTGAAAATCAAAAATTTGGCCTACAAAATGCATCAAAAATTGATAACGAGATTTAAACCTTACAAGAGTAACGTAAGGAATAGTGGCCTGCTATTTTGGTGTGCTTTACAAGAAGAATTCAAGAGAGGGCGCCAGCAATATTCAACTTTACTAAATGTTCAAACTTTTCAAATGTTTCACTTGGAAAACTGAGCTATAAAAAAGAAAAAATTAAATTGGCTTGGAAAAGTTTTCACACTAACTACTCGCCTCTCGTAAAAAACAAAAACTTAGTGGGCTCGTCCGGGATTTGAACCCGGGACCTCCCGCACCCTAAGCGGAAATCATACCCCTAGACCAACGAGCCATGTTATTTTATTTTGTAAAACTTGTAAAAGAAACAGAGATGGATAAGACTTGGAACTTTTTAAGCAAGTCTATTGAGCATGGAAAGCTACTTACCCACATGTTGGCTGAACCACACAAAGTTCCAAAACCTTGAATGCTGCTTGTTTTTATAGGACTTAAAATTGATCAACTGGGCCATTATTAATTATTATACAATGTCAAACGGATTTCTTGCACGATTGTTTTACATAAGCGCCAAAGATTAAATAACGGCCATTGTTCGATGGCAATTCGCATAACAAATAGTTGAAAATTGCCGGGGACGATTTCCCATTTCCGGCTTTTCACGCAATGGCGCATTCCTGCACTGTTGGCGGTTTTTCTCCAATTCAAAGGAAAAATTTAATCGCAACAATCCGATTATCAGACCGTGTGCGGATCAACATTTTAGGCAACAACTAGAGCCCGACGCGCGTTTGTCATTTTTATTTATTGATGAGCTTTCTTTTGTTCAATTAATGAAATCGCGTGCGTTTATCTGGACATCGATTGGCTCTAAATCAAAAAAATTCCATTATTGAATCATTCAGAAGCCGCATCCAATCAGGACGGATTCTGCAATCAAAACAGTTTAATTAGGAATCAAAACGACGAAAAAAAAACACTCTTTGATTGGTTTAGTTCAGTGTGGCAATCGGTTTCTCGGTCTCGTTGCGCAGCAAATGGGGGCATCACTTGATTTGTGCAGAAAAACTAATGCTCGAAAAACCGGCTAGAAATTTTACTTTGGCTTCACACCAGCCGAATTGAAACGCACAACTAGCAAAAAAGCATTTCTCTTAGCAAATTGCCGAAATTGCTTGAGAAATCGGACCCAAAAACAACCGCATGTGGCTGATTAAATCCACGCAGGCAATAAGGAACCAGATTGGTCGTTTGACGCCCATAGGAAACTGGAAAAGCAAGGGCGGATCCAGGGGGGGGGTCAAGGGGGTCATGACCCCCCCGTTCAATTCTCTATCCAACGATGCCAAAACGAATTATCGGGCTCGAATGGTTCTTGAGAAACTTCGAAAAAACCAGCATCATGTTCAAGTGGATTTTGCAACTCAAAAAAAAAACCACGCAAATCTAAAACTTTTTGAATTTTTTGAGAAAACTGCCAACATTTCCCCATCCATGGTTCACTTTCTAAAAAGGTCATTTATTTCTCTCTAGAATGATGTACAAATGAGCATTCTTGCTCATTTTGCCTCCGAGAAATGAGCAAAAACGGGACGGAAAACATGGAATTTTGGCATAATCTTGCACTGAAGTGTCTGATATTCAAATTTTGCTTTCTGGCTCAAAATTACTCCAATTTCCTCACTCACGTTGTTACGACTGAAGCGAGTTTTCAATTCTCTATTCAACGATGCCAAAACAAATTCTGTGGCTCAAATGGTTCTTGAGAAACCTCGAAAGAAGCAGCGTCATGTTCAAGTGGATTTTGCAACTCAAAAAAAACCCACGCAAATCTAAAACTTCTTGAATTCAAGCATTTTTTGAGAAAACTGCCAACATTT